GCTTTATCTTCCAAACTTCCTAAGAAGGATGGGAAGGTAAGTGACATAACTCTATTTCCACACCTCAAGAGGAGCGGGTCAGATATTCTTTGCTTTCTGCCTGGACTGTGATGGCCATCATCTGTAGGTGAAGTCACAACATCTTTTAATCATCACACAGCCAGTTGTCACACTTCTTTCCCTTTCATTAGTATTTTCGTTATAACTCATGTGTATTCCCCTTTTGTATAACACACCTGAATATTTAATGTCTTAAAACCAAACTGCATAAAACCAATGAAATGCCAAAATAAAAAATTATAATGCAAAATTTTTCACAAATTTTGAATTTTCCAAAAGGCCATTCCTCAAACCCCATGTAGGGGATAGAGAGTGCTAATTTATTTAATCATAGGTTTGAGACACATTGCCATAGAAATAGTTGCTTAGAAACATGAATGATATGATGAAACATTTTGAGGCCCTTTACTGAAGTACTGTTGAACTATAACCACTGAGATTTAATTGCTGAGCTGTTAAGACATCTTCCAGCAGTGGCTGCAGCAACATTAGGAAATTATTGAGAATACACTGATATCTGCCTAGGTTATTCATAGTATTACCAGCATTTAGAGAAAAGAGCGTTCTATGTGCTCATCAAGAACCATACAGCCACCTGGACCCAAGTCTTTCTACCTTTATCTCTCTACTCTGCTTGTTGCCTTTTAATAATTTTTTATGTAATATTTATGTGAGTCCTAACTAGGGAAAAGGAGTCAGGCTGGTGGGACCAGAAGAAAACAAAGAGTTAAAGCAAATAAGCTATAAATAGACGTTTATTTATGGCTTGGGACATATAAACAAAAAGAGGAAGCAGATAAATTATAACGCTGTTTTTCTTTATGGCCCAGAATATATTGCCCTCCTGAACAAATAACGTCCTTAACTCATTAAACATCACAGCTCCCAAATTCTGTTCTATAAAATCTCCAGCAAGCCTTTGTTTCCTTGCAGTCAGCTTCTCTCATGCTGATCTGCCTGTTACCTTCTGCAATATTATTTTCATACTTTCTCTAATAAGTCTACCTTTCTTTACCTAAAACTGTCTTAGCAAATTCTCCTGTTCCTGTGCCACTGGCCTGGGTAGTCATTGCTTCCCCACAACAGTTTACTCAAGATATAAATAAGTAGGTATTGTCGAAGTAGGGGCCATGGCACCCTTGGCTCTCTGAACATTCATTCAAAAATAAACTTGCAAAAGACAGATTAATTGAAGAAAAGATATACAAATTTATTCAATGTGTATGCACAGGAGGCTTCAGAATGAAGACTCAAAAATACAGAGGAAACTGTCCATTTTTATGCTTAGGTTCAACAAAGTATGGGTACGTGTAAAATTATAATTGAACAAAAACTTTATAGTATAATGCTAACAGCTTGAGTGGGGAAACCCCACAAGGTTTGTCTGTCTAGATTCTTCTTGGCCTCTCTGAGCATTGATTCTTTCCTTCTGGGTATGAGCATATTCATATATTATAAATTGGGTAAATATCACCACAATCATTAAGAATAATAATAGAGTTAGAAAACAGCTTTCAAAGTCACTAAGTTAATAATTCTGAAGTAAATGGTTGAAATAATATATTTGAAAATTAAACATCATACTTTTATATAATTAATGGATCAAAGCTCAATCATAATAAAATGTTGATATATTTTAAACTATGGCATAGGCATATTTGTACAATGCAGCTTGAACAGTGAAACTCTAAAGAGTTTGTTGTTGCTGTTTTTACTTTTTAATGCATATGTTAGAAAAGAAGAAAAAATGGAAAAGATAATGATTCAAGCTTCTATCTCAAAATCCAGACAAATAACAGTAAATTAAACACAAAGAATATATGAGGAAGAAAATGTTTTTTAAAGTGAGCAGACACCAGTAAAACATAAAGCACACATACATTAGAAAAAGTTTAAATATACATTAAAGAAATGAACTAAGTCAAAATTTGGTTCTTTGGGAAAATTAGTAAAGTTAATAAGTGCTAGAAAGACAAAAAAAATGAGAAAAACACAATTATCAATATCAGAAGTAAAGCTGTGGTGGGAGTGGCCATTATTATAGATCCAACAGATATGAAAAAGTCTATAAGAGAATATTAAGAAAACCTTATCTATTAATACATTTAGTTATTTAGATGAAAAAAAATCTTAAAAAACTGATTAAAAAGACACCAAAAATCTGAATGCTATTAATCTATTAGAGAAATTAAATCTATACTATTAAAATTTTCCCACAAGGAAAACTTCTGACCCAGACAGCTTCACAATCAAAGGTGTATTTGTTCAAATATTTAAGAAAGAAAGAATTTCACACAGTCTTACACAAATTCTTCCAGATAATAGAAAAAAGGGGAATACTTCCCACCTTATTCTATGGGACTAACATGATTCCAATATTTCAAAACCTGAAAGCCTTCATATGGACTTGGGAGGTAAAGTGATGAATTACATAAATATGTGTAATTAAGAAGAGGGTTTTAAATAGCCTCTACTTTATCAAAAATTGACAGTTGATTGCCAGAGAAAACTAGTACCTGTCCAGACTTCGAACATCACTTTTGGCTTGGTGATTTTCCTTGTCGTATGGGAAGATTCTAATATAAAAGGAAATGACAGAAGACTTTAATGGCATAGTGCCAGTTTAGTATGGTACTCAAGACAACAAACATTACCCTATGAATGATGAAATTTACCTATTTTGAATGTCCAGTTTATAGCTTCTGACACTGTGTAGAGTTAAACCTGAATCTTCAAAAATGTGCTGTAAATAGTGCGTCCTATGTTATTGTTGTAGCTGATTAATCTTATTACTTTCGTAGCCTTATTTTGCTGATTGCAATAATTACTTATAGAAGCTATCATTTTAAACTAATTAGCAAAGCATTAATAATTTTTATAATCCATCGCAATCTATTTTTATTATTCTATTTCTGACTGATTTAATATTTTAAGACACCTCTCACAGTATACATAACTTTCCAGTTATTACTTAACATATAAATATAAATATTGTCCCAGATAAACAGTTTGATGGCTAAATCACTATAATTTGATTAGGCAGTTTGTGGGGTCTAAGAAAATCTTGGTGAAAAGCTGTCATTATAAACAGAAATTTATTTGTATAAAAACAATTCTCATATTAAATAATTTTGTCCATGGCATTGGAGAAGAAGGAACTAAAACATTGACCTATAATCCATTTCTATTTTAATTGCTGGGATCTCCTGGGAAACCAAAGAGGACAGAAGACCTAGTCTACTTTCTTCATAAATGTGCTGATAGTTGACATCATAATGTGTCTAACAGTATTAGTATCATTCACATAAGTAGGACAATTAGAAGAACCTGATAAAATATATCTTAGTAGCATGTCCCAGCTTTAGGACCATTAAACTAGAGATACTTCAGGTAGCTTACTTTTATGACATTGTCTAAGATGCCATGCCTGTAAATTGATACCAATTTTTAGGAAACCATGCTTTTTATAAAACAATGAAAGTAGACATACAAAACCTCATTTACCAACAACTTATCAGTTATTTAATGTGACTACTTTTGCGCTTATATGATATCACAATATAAGCTTACCTTGAGAAGACATTTTGATACATTTCTATTATTTTGTTTCTTTTAAAATATGATATCAAATTTCCACTGAAAGCTGTGATAAAGTAACTTGTGGTAAATTGATACCAATTTATAGACATGGAATCTTAGAAAATGTCACAAAAGTAAGCTATCTGAAGTAGGAAATAGGTATGTTTCAAATCTAAATGATCCCCACTATATAATAAATCTTGTACCTTACATTGAAACGTCACTTACTGTGAACCAGTGATTGTATATCTGAAAAATAATATCTGGAGGGCTGCTAGAGACCAAGAATAATCCTATCAATATTGCCACTTACTTTCCCATAAAATGAACAGCTTAAGTCCAGAGTCAGTAAATCATCAAACAGTCTAAAACTTTTTAGTATATAAGGTAATGATTAACTCTTCAGAGTTCTTTGGCTGAACATCTGTGATTTAGTTACTATTTATAGCATGCTTTATTGCAGAATACTGACATCTAGGGGCCTGAATTTACATTAACTGAAAGGGCTTAAGATTGATCATGCTAATTAAAGTCATATCTATTCCAGCTAAGATTGTCTCATAAGAAAGGTGCAAAAAGACAGGAATTCTAGCTTACTACTAACCTAAAATACTAATTTCATATTGATTAGCTAGGATACATTCTTTAGACATAAAACTTTACACAGTTATGAAGAGTTGGGGTGTGAATAGGAGTGGACTCAGATTGGAGCTGCAATAAATCAGTATCACAGCCCCCCCAAAAAAAATTATGAAGAGTCAGCATTCTTCATAATGACAGCAGATAATGAAAAAAGCAGAGGCAAGCTGATATCAAACAGACATCAAAATGGTCAAAAGAATATATTATATTGATGGAAAAGCAATGCAAGCTAGTAAATGATGTCTATCCCAAAGCACAAATTTAGAGTGTGCTCATTGTCTTTTTTTTTTTTTTTAATGTCTTACTATGTAATTGATACTTGACATTGAAATAGAGGATAGTTAAGGTATAAATAGCTTGGAAACAAATAAAATACTAAATAATTAAGTTTCCACCAACACACATACACTTTTACAAGGTTTCTTCCTGAATAGGTAGCAGTTGCAACAAGAACACTAACACTAACAAAGAAAAATAACACAGATTTAATCTACTGCACACATACGCCCAGAAGCAATGGAAACTTTATTAAAAGAAATGCAATCTCATGAAGACCTAACTCATGGAGACAATAATACCTTTTAAAAATATATATTTACGTTTTACGGCTTTGAGGAAATCATGCATTTTATAAAAAACCGAAGGTAGACATATATAACCTAATCTACCAAGAACTTATAAGCTTTTAATGTGACTACTTTTGTGTTTGTAAAGTACCACAACATATTCTTACCTTGAGAAGATATTTTAATACATTTTTATTGTTTGCTCCTTTTAAAATATGATATTAAAGTGCCACTCAAAACTATGATAAAGTAACGTGTGGTAAATCTTCTCTAGAAGACAATATGAAGAAGAACAAAAGAAAATTTAAAAAAAAAAAAAAAAAAAACAGAAAAAGAAAAGTATATTTGAAGCTTTGAAGGCCAGAGAGATTAGTTGAGATAACCAGAATTTCAAATGGCAAAACCATGCAGGTGACCGAACTTCAGAGAGAGGTAAGCCAACATTCTGAACCGACTAACTTCCTTTGAGTATTTGCTGGTTCTGGGTTGAGGTTAAGAGGCTGAGGGTGTGGCAAATAACCCAGGTAAATTGTGCTATTAAGCGCGCACACACACATACACACACACACACACACACACAAAAGTAGAAATTATGGATGTGTCTTGAGCCCAAAATATAAAAACTGGAGGCTTGAAAGACTAGTAATGTGGATTGTGATAAGTGAAAAACAGATATCAGCAAATAATTCTCTTTGCTAGATATTATGAATTCTAAAGCTGTGCAAAAGGAACTGGTTAAAAATAGGCCAAGCAAAAACTTCAGAAGAGTAGGATAAAGTTTTAAGCAGCCTCGTAGTAATTGTGAGGCAAGAGCAAAAATTCAGGAAACACAGGAAGATGAGAGAGGAACCAGTGTGACTTCTCCAGGGCCTGGAACTCCTGGAAGACTACATCTTAGAGCAAGAAAGGTAGGGGACAAATGACAAATGAACAAATTATTCTCAAAAGTTTAACTCAAGATGAAATCTAATAGACCCTTGATTAGATTAAGTGAGTTCACCTACATTCTATCTTCCTAGCAAAGAGGGACAACAAATTATCCAGCAGCTCTAAATTACTTTTTAAACAATATGTAGGTTTTAATTCACAAGTATGTCAATGGATTTAAGAAATAATCAAACATCAGAAAATAGAGTAGAAAAAAATGTAATCTTAAGTATATCTATCTCCAAAACTAAATCTGATACTTAGTGTAAATAAATTTCTAGAGCTACAACCAAGAGGACAAAATGTGCAGAAAACACTTCAAACCATGGTAAAACAAAACCATAGTAAAATAGCTAAACAGAAAACAAATGTCCCATATGAAAACCTGGGGGGAATTAAAGAAATATTATTAACTGTATTAAGAGTATTAAGTGATCTGAAGATACAGCACCATGCCATGAAGTCTAATGTTTCCATGCTACTCTTAGCTGTCAGTGTGGTGTTTCCCAGTTCATTGACCTGAAATTAGTTATTGATCACATTCTTTTCAATGTTGCAAAAACAGAACTTGAAGAATCATTTGTTTCTCTTTATAAATGTTGATCACGAGCTTGAAAACACAAAGTAAATGTGTTCAGCTAGAATAAAGACAAAAAAATATTAAGAATAAGACTTATTCTGTTATCTACCAATATATTCTGAATGATTCTTTATAACCACAGCCATTGATCATTCAGTCACTTAAATATACTAACATGTTTTTTGCAGCTGTTCCACAGGAATTATGCAGAAAAAAATTATTATTGTATGATTTTACAGTAAAAATTTGAACAAATGGTGGGGAACACAGCATGTTGAGGGAAGAATACACAGGAAAAGTAGATGCTATAGTTAAATTTTTCATTAGGTATATTTTCACAAAGCCATCTAATTAAATTTGTTAATTCAATGAAAATTCTAGTAAGCCAAATAGTATTTTTAATTTTAACACTTCCTTATTTTACTTATTTTCTGATATGACCATAACTTCAAATGTTTCCATTGGTACTATCACTTTCCATCTCACAAAAAACTTTCTCCTGTGTAGAGATATACATTGCATCTATCTACAAAGTTTATTTTCCATTCCATTTTCAGGCATAAACATTCTTCCTTCAAATTTAAAAAAATTGTTAAATAAAAAAATGTAAAATATTATGAGTATATACAACATAATTTCTCTCCTATTCATTCAGTTTTCTCATGTCATCTTTGTCTATTTCTTTTGCTGAATTTTCTTCTCTTTTTACCTCAAGTATATTTTTATCATTTTTTGAAGCTACATTCTCAGATACATTTTTTGTGAGAATTACTCGCCAAGTATATTTTATGTAATAATTTCTAAGTCATACTTTTCTTTTAAAAATGGTAGCATAAGACCACTTAAGGTGTTTTACTTAAATTTCAAGTGCAGGATTATAGTTTGGAATTATAAAAAATGTAACTAAAAAATAATGAAAGAAATTACATGTTCTACTATTAACAATCATGAAGCAAAATGTCAGTTTTCCTAATAAGAGTTAATGGTAAGAATAAAGTCAGCAAATGTCATGTGGAAACATATTTCAACAAACTGATTGAAATGTTCACTGTAATTCTTCCCATTGGTGTTAATGCGAATGAAGGAAGAAAAAAGAAAATGGAAACATGACTTCTAAAGTGCCTACTAGAAGATATGTTTCATGTATGTTTCAGATGAATGAAGGAAGAAAGAAAAAAATGGAAACATGGCTTCTGAAGTGCCTACTAGAAGATATGTTTCATGTACACTATTTTGTTAATCCTCACAATAGCCCAGTGAGGTATTACATTTCCTCTTTAAAGATGAGCAAACAAGGCTCAGAGAGTTTGAGTAACTTTTGCATATCACAGAGCTTCTAAGTGCTTGCCCAACCAATAAAAGTTCCAGGATTCGAAAAAAAAAAAAAAAGTATAAAAAGAAAAATGAGATGATAAATCAAGTGGTAAATTGGAAGGAATTCCAGACTTTGTGTCTGGAAATGTGGATTTGTATATTGGATCTCCCATTTACTAACTCTATATTCTTGGGTTAGTCATTCAAACTCTTTTATTCCTGATTTTATTTTTTCTTTAGATATACTGGAGTTTGAAGGGGAACAGAAATAGCTCAACTTTCTTCACCAGTGTTCAGAACCAACAGGGGTAAGGCAGATGAAGCGGATGATGTTATCTTTATTAATAAAACTAAAATTGGAGACTGTATTAAGTTGACTGACTAGAAGACCTATCCCATCATGTGGACTTCAAGACATTGCTCCACCAAGAAGGAGAGAGCACAGAGAAGCTAAATAGTCTTTATTTTTGTAAAATTCAGACAAATGTCTTTATTCACTAACCAGACAACTCATTGCATTTTTTGTGGAAAAGTGAGGTGTGTGGAGTATGGAAACAGGTCAGCAGTTTTTAAAGGAAGTTTTACCTGAGAAGTTAATATGTATGACACTTTACAGGGAAGTTCAAGACAACGGATAGTGTGTACAGAATCTATTGATTCCACTCCCAAAGAAGCACAATCATTTTTCAAGATACATTTGGGTATTTTAACAATGTCATCACACATATCTCAGAGAAAATTTATGAGGTCCAAGTAAGATAAAAGCACTTTGAAAATTGTAATGTTATTCACAAATGTAAGACACTATCATAATTTACATAAAATATCTTGTCAATTAAACATTGCTACCCTTTGACTTTGAGCTGCATCCTTCAAAGAAGCTGCAATGTTCTTTAATACAGGCTCTTGACTGAATTGGAAATTGTTGAAAGGAATTAGCATTTACTTGGAAACTCTCGGGTGCCAATAACTCTGGTTTGCATATGTTTTTTATTTAATAGGTAGAAATGTCTTGATAATTTGCAAATAAATTTGTGGCTCAGAGGAGTTATGCAACATGCCCTAATTTCCACAGCTAGTATAGGTGGTATCTGCAAAAGCCAGTGGGATGGGAAAATTGGTTGAAGATCATTATTACTCTGAATTTTCACTGTGCTGGAGACAGTTGACTAGAAATTTGGTGTAAAGAACGTTCTTTAACCAATATTTCCTACTATAAAATTTTAAATTAATATCTATATAATAAAATGCATTTCTAAATATTACAATATATTTTAAATACCAAACCAAATGTTTGCTATTTTCTTGTACAAAAGCTTGATTTTATTGTTTCACCTCCTTAAAGATTTTCAGTCTAACAAATATCATCCCAATGGGCGAAGTGTAATGCTATTTTTAGTCTTGATTTCTTAAGTTTATTGCCCAGAGAAGGCTGTCAGTTGAAGATGGGATTAATTCTAATTATTTCTCTTACTTGAGGATGTCTTGGATCATTTGAAACCTGCCAGTGATCCTTTGTGTTTTCACTGTATAGATTTGTTTGGCCTTTGATTCTTTCATTGTCTTTACACGTTATGTGACAATCATTCTAGGGGGAAAAGAAATACATTTATGCCATCTTTTGTATCATATGAATTATTATTAAAGGTCTCAGAAGGAAGCAGCCAATTTTAATAAATCATGTCAGACACATGTATAAAATTTCCAATGAATATGGTGGTATTGATCTACAATGGTCATACCTGGAGACCTTTCAGAGGAATTTTGTGATCTGTAGAAAGATATATGTTTCACTAGTTTTTAGTCAAAGTCATATTTGCTTAAGGCACAAAAAGAGTGAAAATTTTAAAAAGAGTTTATATCATCTGACAGGCTGAAAAACTCAATTCTGTCTAGGAACAATAAAATGCTAATACCTGGGCTAGGTTAATTATCAAATTCAATAATCTAAAATGATGATGTATTATATATTATGTTAGAGCTCTAGCCAATCAACACCACAAATAGGTATTGGCCCTATGAAATCAAATCTATAAGTAATTGAGTAAATTTTGTTTATTTTAATTTACATTTCTGATATTACTATATGGATAAGGATTATCATATGTTTCTGAGGTGCCAGTAGGTGTTGAACCAAAATCTACAAATGTATGCAATTTAACACATTGAAAGATGCATCTTTTTCATTAAGGAATATTGACAAAGACTGATGGTGGTTGTAGGAGTACATAATATGGAAAAGTCAGAAGGTAGTCTAAAATAATTCAAAGAGTAGCATCCACATTCATTAGACATTAATATAATCAAGTCACTGTGATACATAAGATGAGATACCAAGATTGCATACTCTGTCACCAAGTGGAACATCAATTTAAAGAGATGATTCAGATAAAGCTTTCCCTTTTATATTCATACTATTAAATTGCCTTTGTGGCTTAGGGAACAAGTG